TGGAGGAGTGCATGGATACCGGTGCTTTATAAATTCTCATTATTACCAATATTATTATTATTGCTATTTTTAGAAATATGGAGAGTTATTTTACTATATCGTAATATGGCTCTTAACGACACAATAAAAATGCACCCAGTGTTGAAGAATATAAGTGACGCGATGATATGTCAATGTCGTGCGGTTATTGTGTCAAGCGTAAATGTATCTTTAAGCTAATTGTGACTTCCCATGGCTTTAGCCATTGATTTTAAGTTTTTAAGATAGTGAGTGAGAAATAGTAACACACCTATGAGCTCTCATAAGCCAGGGTCTTAAGGGCCCCGGACATTAATCGGTATTGTTTTTGTCAGGACCATGGTTGCTAACTTCGCCGAGTGTGATCACTTAAGAAGCAGAATGTTAAAAAAAACCACCAAAATAAACCAAAGTAAAAATGCAGACTACTTCCTAATAGGGTCTGAAGAAGCATTAGGAAGGTCTCAGGTGTCTTTGTTATGCCACTGCGAAAAATGTGTCCCCAATGATATAGTGACCAAGCCTCAGATTTGTACCCACAACCTAAAAAGTTAGCCGTGCCATATGCTTGTCTACATCACTTGTCATTCAATTGAGACTAAACAAATCGCAGATCTATCGTCTCCTTGAATTTGTAAAATACAGACATTGATGTACGTGCAGATGCATTTGTTAAGTTTATACTTTTACATGCTTACATCGTGAATCACTCATAAAATAGGTACCTTTGCCAAAATCACAAATATTGTTATAAAAACAACTACTTCACTGGATTTCCAACAACTTCAACAAATTAATTAAGACCGTCTCCATTACAAATTGAGTTAAAGCAAAAACGCAAATAGCTCAATATATTTCCTCATCAATGGAAATAACAGAACCAAATTACGTCGACATTAGGGTCATAAGGTCAAAATAACTTGCCCCTCTCTAGGTAAAATCCATCTCTCAGGTGGTTAGCTATTTGTAGGAAATGAAATAATCAAACATTTCCATAACCTTTTTTCATGTACAGTGTTATAGAAATTGTCATCAATACACATTGAAAACTGTCAGAGAATAAAATCTTGTACAAGAAAAAATTAATATTATAAAACAGAATTCATTCTTAAGTACTTGAGTAATGAAGTAAATAATGCTAAATTATTATTTAATGTTATATATATTTACTTGTTTACATTGAATGTAAGTTGCTATCTTTCAAATAAAAATTAAAAATAATTGCTTTGCCAAATTCGAGATGCAGAAAAAATAAACTGAGAAAAAAAACCAGTATGTTCTTTGAATTCATGCGTAGGTTGCTGTATGCTTGAATACACACAGCATGTTAAGATGCATAGATGTCATGACAGTAAGCCCACCATTATCATTTATATTACCTTAATATAATGTAAAGGTTATCTAAAATTATACTTCAGATGATAAATTGATAATAAACCAAATTCAATCAAAATCTTTTTTAAAGTAAGACAACTATTATTCATTGATGTTCTTGGAATACCGATCTGCACCTTATTCCGGAGTTTGTGGGTAAATGATTTGATATTAATAAAGATGTCTAATAGACATTACAAAAATCAAAATACAAATCAGAAAAAAAAGGTAATAAGATAGAAAGAAGAGTAAGACAAAGTTTGGCAACGCATTTAATGTGTAATGTCTATTGAATAAAATTGACAGGTATGTAGTGAAATTGTTAAAGTAAAGACTGTCTATTTATAACTCTTATTAGCTTAGGAGACTCCAGAGCCAAGTAAATGTAGAATGGTTTGTTAGCCCAAAGCGTTAATTTTACAAGACATTGTATGCTGGGCTACTACTAAATCAAGCCCTACACGAAGAACTGACACATTCAATGTTGTTAATGTTTAGTGAATTACACACTATACCTATTATTCATGTTCATCTAAGTCCAAAAATATCTGAAGCAGAGATGGAAAAGGTAACATTTGGAAACGAAGGATGACATCAGATTACCACACACAAATTAATGAGAATCTATTAAAATCAATGGGTATAAAATTACAAGAAAAAAATTCATTTATCGCCTTCAGGAAGATAGAAGAGAAAAGTAAATAGGAAAATGAAAGAAGTAAGGCTTGAAATGACAGAACAAATTTTCCTCCTTTCAATTTAAATTATATAGACAATAAACCTGAACAGTATAAATATACTTGCTCTTATAGGCATCATTTCCCATGCATAAATAGGAATGTGTTATTCTAAAGCACATGGAAACATAAACATCGGAAATTATGGAGTCTCTTGTGTCGCCCTTTAGTATGTTAATTCTGACAGGTATAATACCACTTGGATGGTAAATACAAGACGCTGCGAAGTAGTCATATAGGTCAGCTAAACTGAAGGTATTTAATTGCCTGTTTTGTAGATTTCGTTTCACACTTCACGCACATCCCCAAACATTTTTTATAAAAAAAACAAAATGACTTTACTTGCTTACTTAAGTTTTGTTCTTGTCTCTTTCTTGGGAACATGCTTTTTTAAAAATTATTATCCCAAACATTCTTTATAAAAAAAACCTAATGACTTTTACTTGCATAAGTTTGTAGACTAAGTTATAAAACCTACATGTTAAGTTGTTTTGTTTTTGTCTGTATTCTTTAGGACATTCTTTTTTCCCATTATTATGAAAATATTAAATTATTATCCTAATTTTCTGGCCACACATTCATATTACATTCCTTTTGTAATAAATTAATTAATTACATATAATAGTATAAACATTACATAAAAAAAAAAAACTAACTAAATCCTTTCCGAGCCACTGGGGCTCATAGGGCTGGAGCTTATCCCCAGTTTCTGTAGTGTAAAGCGGATGAGAGTTGTACTCTCACTGGACGGGACACTAGTCCATCGCAGGTTAGTCCCCAGCAGTTTGCTGGTACCCATTGATACAGCTGGGTGGACTGAAGCAATCTAGCTAAAGTGCCTTGCCCAAGGACACAAGTGGATCTGCACAGCGGAGACTCGAAAACCTGACCTAACGATTGAAAGCCCAAATCTCAACCGCTGCACCAAACTGCTGCTTAAACATTACATATAATAGTATAAAATGCTCATTATCATAAATTATTATTCATTGTCACATATTGTAACATTATGAATATTTTTTTCTATATAGACGGTTAATAATTATTTTAAATATTCAGAAACAATCAGATACTAATTATAGTCTACAAATAGATTTGTAACCAGTTAAATGACAAGTAATAATAATGATGTAGTTCTTTAGTTACATTTCCTAGTTTAATTAAGCTACATTTATGGGCTTTTTTATACATATATTTTTTATACATTTTCTATATTTTTATGTTATGCAAATTATCTGGTACTTTTGTTTCACAAACTTTGACTTGAACATGCAACATTTTTATTATACGGTCAACACCTTAGCTCTGTGCCATACACGTTATCATTTCATTATTCTCAAAACGCTGCACATTTAAATCTCACTACCATGGCAACATACTTTCATCAACGACAAATTACCGAACGCACACAAAAAACCTCAACCAACTGCAAGGTAATAAACCACACAGGTAGAGAAATCAATATGATTGAGGACCTGTGTAAATGACATCAGTAATAAACTCCTCAGTATTTTGTTGTAACTTAAGCCTCAAGCATATCTCATGCTAAATGCAAATCTCCTTTAGTATTTCACGAGGCAGGCGACTCTGAAATTGCATCAGCTTGCTTGCAAACACTGTAAACATTTAAACAATTCTTTACATTTTTACCGATTCTAATTATGAAAATAAACAGTTACAAAATTTGGGGATGGAAGGTTCATTCAAATAATGTAATTGATTCGTTCTAATCAAAATGCCAAGTTAATACACAAATGAAATGAAAGAAAATAAAATAATGATGAGAGTACTATTGTACAGCAGTAGCTGACACATGCACAGGGAAGATTTCCCTTGTTGGCTGCCATCTCACATGAGAAAAATTAAATTATGAATATAAATTGTTATGAAAATGAGTGGTAATATAATATATTGAGACGGTTGATTAAACTGAAGCAACTATATGGTGACAGTATAAATGCAGTTTTTAAAGAAACACTGGAAACGTAAAATTTTCAACATAAGATGTTCAAGTTTGTGTGCGGCACTAAGGGTAAAAAATATTGCCCGTTTTATGTACTTCTCTGATTTTAGTCATATTGAAATTTGAAATACCAATCGCATTCTAAACTATTTGCATTCAAACAGGTAAGAATTTATACTCCTGTGTCCCATGGAAACAGCATACCCAGTCTAGAATTTGATCCCAAGCCCTAGGGATTTAATGCTACAACTACATCATCTACCTGTGTTTGGAAATCTACCACATAATAGTTCAACTTCCCTGGTAGGCATTGTACCCTGGATAATCAATGAAATCTACCACATGATTTTTCAACTCGCTTGGTAGGCATTGTTGCACCCCAGATAACCAAAGGATTCTACCATGTGGTTGGTCAACTCACCTGGTAGGCATTGTTGTACCCTAGATAATCATGGAAATCTACAACATGATTGGTCAACTCACCTGGAAGACATTGCTGTACCCTGGATAGCCAAAGAAATCAACCATGTGAATGGTCAACCATATTTTGTAAGCACTGTTGTACCCTGGATAATCGAGGAAATCTACCATGCGATTGGTCAACTCACCTGGTAGGCATTGTTGTACCCTGGATAATCAAGGAAATCTACCATGCGATAGGTTAACTCACCTGATAGGCATTGTTGTACCCTGGATAATCAAGGAAATCAACTATGTGACTGGTTAACTCACCTGGTAGGCATTGTTGTACCCTGGATAATCAAGGAAATCAACTATGTGACTGGTTAACTCACCTGGTAGGCATTGTTGTACCCTGGATATTCAAAGAAATCAACCATGTAACAACTCACCTGGTAGGCATTGTTGTACCCTGGATATTCAAAGAAATCAACCATGTAACAACTCACCTGGTAGGCATTGTTGTACCCTGGATGATCAAGGTCATGGCAAATTGTTGCAGTTATCATAATCATCACATCTAAGTCACCTATCAGACTACAGAGATCTGTCAACCAAGAGATTCCATACATCTATAAGAAATAACACACATTATAAATGTTAAGAGCCTGTTCTAAAAGAATACCTCTCTAAGAATCGTCATTACTAACACCATTATCACAAGCCTCACTACTATCCTACCACCACCTATATCACCGTCATCAATACAATTACCACCATCACCAGATTATCACTATTACCACCATCACCAAATTGGCAGCATCCATATTCCCATCAACATATACTACCATCATCATTACCGCCATCACCCTCTCATCACAAATATCACTGAAATAATCGTTACTTCAACTACCACCACCAACAAAACCACCATTTTAAACCATGTTTTTCAATAAATTCACTTTCGTAAAATCACAAGCTTGACATTAAAAAAAGTCAAACAAATTTACTTTCATCTTCGCTGCCAATGCTCATGACTCACGTACGCCAGTCACAACACCGTGTTTACGTTCCAATAGGAAGCGACACAGACGCGGCTCGCTCAAGCCCCAGAAATCCCAGCTAATGCCGGATCACACTTATGGAATGTTGATCAGGTTGAAGCCCAGGGATCAACGGATATAAAAATCTGTTGTTAAAACTTAAATGACCACTACAGTAACTTGTTTTGATATCACCTTAGCAACTTGTCCTGATCACCATTAATTGATAACTTAGTCAACATTATCTGATAGCTATAACAAATTCTGGTTAGAGTTATTCATTTGATATTAGTAATCTTAACTGCCATAGTCAAGTTATATGATCAGCACTGTAACCAGTGGCAGTGCCAAGAAGAGGTTGGGAGGGGGGTAGAAATTATTCCTGTTGGACAGGCACACACCTTTGCCAATCCAACTCATGACGGGCAAACTGAAGCTAATATTTGAGTTAACTGTTATCAACTGTGGTTTTTTTCTTAAATTTTTGTGATGCTAATAAATATGGCCATTAATCAAAAATAATTTGAAAAAAGAATGTGGAAGAATAAAATATAGAAGGGATTATCCTCAAAGACACATAGAAGACAGGCCTACCTAATGAGCCTAAAGGTTATAAGGTTCACCGATATAACCGACTTTTCGTCAATCTTTTATTAAGTATAAAAGTAATGTCCAATGGCAGTGCATGCAACCTTCCTATTATGGGATATAATAACTGAACAACAATACAGAATGTGGCACTGGAGTGGGTCACATAAAACAGATCAGCTACGGATATTCAAGGAATAAACAGACACACCGGTATTTTATTTGTGGTTGTGGATGGAACCAATATAACGTGGTTTGATGAACAATAAAGTCCACATTGGATGACATTAACAGATTGCAAACGACCACAAAACGTTTCAGACTTAATAGTGTTTCACAGGCCTTAGACATGTATTGTCTAGACTTCTGCTGCGGAAACCTGGATTAAAAAAGGTATTTTCCATACATCTTCAGGATCTAAGTTTCAGAATGACTCTATTTTCTCACACATACAACAAAATATTGCAATCCTTGAACAATTATTTTACTGTACATAAAACTGTAATAAAACAAACATTTATAAAAATTTCATATTTTTTATTTAAAAAAAATGAAAAGTATCTAACAAAGTCAATCGTCTTCTTATCCAAACTTGCGTAATAATTTGAAATACAACATGCTTGTTTGACCTTTTTCACAAGTCGTAGGCGATTTTTGTTTTTACTTTATTAAAAAAATCAGCAATATAGCAATATTGAGAGTGTGAAAGCGACAAATCAGCCAGAAGACATATTGAACAATCATTAACTGATATTATATTTTTTTCTTTTCCATTTGTATTAACTGCTACGGTCTTGTATTTTATGTATATATACTATTATGGATATGAATTCTGAAATAAATGGAGAAATGAAAAAAAAAAAGAAATGAAATGACAGGATGACACTTTCCTGTATGAAAGATAGTTCTATTCTTCTTGGGTTCCTGAATTTTTGAAGAACTGCAAAGTAGGGTCTTCAAACAGGACTATACCATGAAATGAATAAGGCACAAATTAATTAAAGTACTGTAGTAGGCTGTTTTCCAAGAGATATAGTAAGCTAAGGAACAGTCATTAGATTTTTAAATGGCAAACACAAAGAACATTAACTACATATAATGTTTCACCCAGAGCTGTATTACAGATTTTGGAGTAGACACATCTAAGTAAATGACTAAGCCAAATTGTCAATGCAATCCCCAAAGGTTTGAGACAAAATGGACATTTAATCCTTCTAAACATCTAACATAGCTTTTTGGTTTGTCGTCTAATAATGGTCCTTTAAGATTTTCAACCAGGTTTTGTTGAGTGAAGCAATAGACATTATGCATCCTCACATTCGCCACTGCTGCAGTGTTTGTTTGTTGGTGAGGCCTTAGTTTATCGACTCAAGAATGATTTACGAGCAACTAGGGGAGCCAGTAATTGGCAATGCAGTTGCTGTAACCAATATGAGTAGACTGTTATTGATGAGCTAGAGTAAGTTTGGTCTATTCTTAACCCTCCAGTGGTGTCATCTAACAAACGAGGGCACTCTAATAAGCTTTGTGTTGTTAAACTAAAAGAATCTTATTTTGTTATTTACTATTGTTTTGGCGGATTGTTAACCCTCATGTGGGCTTAAAACAAATAACGATGCTCTAATAATTTTCTTGTTGATAAACTGTGGATCATGTTTATGTATATTAACCTTGTTTTGTGAATTGTTTAAAACGTATTGAGATGCCCCAAAAACATATAACACTCAGAATGACCTGTCAGTGGACAGGCAAACTTGTGACCATATTTTGTATGAAGAAAAAACTTCAAATAAGTCACTGCTCCTATTGAGCAGGCTGATGCGAAGCACCCAGGGGCCGATCCAGTATCCCCCTTTTTGCCACTAAATTTTACAATTTTAAGGCATATAATGAAATTAGCACTCTCACTTATCTATTCTGAATATGTTGTGCCACAACCATTTGAAAAATTCTGGATCCGTCCCTGGCACCGATAGCAGCTAAGCATGACCACAGGTCAACACAAAAAATATATGTATCTTCGCCTATTTATCAACAGTACTGTAGCGATAAAATAAAATCATATTAAGCATATTGTATATCGGCGAACTCTGGAAGCAAAAAAATACTGCAGTGCTGGGGGAGGGACCATGTCTTGTCAGGGTTTAACCAGATTTAATTTTGATTTTCATTAAACCTTATGTGGTGTTACAACAAGCAAGTACTCTAAAAAGCGATGTCGTACGTATCATTAGAATTGAGTGACAGAGAGCATGACTAATACACCCGCGTGAGAGATTGAGCTGCATTAATCCACTCCCTCGCCTATCAATTACACGATATTGTTTATATAGGTGTTTATATACATGCATCTCCCTATGGAGCCTGTAGTACAGTGGCAAGTAATGAAATCAGTAGTTTTTCATTAACACCTCGAACCATATATGATAAAAATAATGCAATCATAACCTTAACGGACATGTTCTACCTAATCCGTCACTGATGATTCTACATGCATGGTTTAACAAAATGATCTAGATCTTAGCAATGGCCTTTAATTTTCTGGAACTAGAGTTCCAAGGAGAAAACTAATACAGTAGTTTTGTCTGACGAGGCAGTGACAAAGTTTTTCTGATTCAGTCAAGAATTTGCTGTAAAACTATATTTTTAACTATAACACCTAGTATATTAGTATGTAAAATATTAATATTAAAAATTAACAGCAAATCTATTTTTTAATAGCATTATTCATACTAAAATTAGTTGGTTGTAAAACTATATTTTTATGAGATTTTTTTTGTTTGTTATTGACTTGAGGAAAGCTCCAAGACAGCAGAGATTTTGATTAATCCTGTCACAAAAAAACTTTTTAGATACATTTGGGGAAATTAATAATAATTAAATAAATTTAAAAAAAACACTCAAAAATGACAACCACCATTTTATTATGTAATCTTATTGGGAGAGGGAGGGGATCTCAGAAATGTTGATGATTGGTGCTCTCTTTACTGAAAATGATGAACAAAATTTATGATCCCAACTTACTTGAATAAATAGCAAATCAAATTATTATATTTAGGAATATATTTAAAAAATTTTTCCAGCATAAAAAGCTTTCGTTTAGAATGCCTTATGTATTGCCGACAGTACATTTCACCGATGCACTTCCTAAAGTATTTTTTGTAGAGCTAGCTCACTTTAAATTTCAACTTCGATTTTGAGAAGTCGCTCTCTTCATTTATTTCTTTACTAAATCATTCTGTACGTCATCACATCTTGTCAGAGGCTCATCTTCACAGTCTCTCTTATTCATCAACCTCTCTGCATATCTCCTATGGCATCACTTTCTCCAGCCTTAGTAGTAAATCCTCAATGCTACTCTCTCAAATCAAACTCTATTGCCATTAAGTTGCTTGTTGACACACACAGAGCCATTTGATGTTGTAAGATGCAAATTCAATCAGTAAAACACAATGAACGCAGCTAGAGATTAAGCTCATCAATAGCTAGCAGAGGAGCAAATGAACTTAATAAGCAAATTATCATGCAAATATAAATGTGAGTGAATGAGGAATAAATATGCACATGAATTGTGAAACAGATGAGTATCAGTATATGAATGAATGAATGAGCTGATGATTAAAACAATGAGCACAACAAATTGAATTAGGAAAACTGAGCCAATGAATAAATAAGTGAGGAATTGAATGAGAAATTACATGAATAAGCACATGAATGAAACAATGACCAAATTATTATTATTATAAAGTTGAAAAATTAGTAAATGTATTAAGTATATTGCTGAATTAGATTGAATTATGAATGAGCACTTGGATGAAACAATGAGCACAACAACTGTTGAGAACTGAACTGAATAAATGCTGAGAGCAGCACATCTCTAAGATGACATTGCTTTCATTTTTGCTGCTCCCTGGCTTACCTTTATTCATATATGTTTTTGAATTGCTGATTATTTTTTTGTAATGTTGTTATTTATTTGTCAGAATAAGTAAAATAAATAAATGAATGAGCAAATAGCACAAAAAACTCATTATTTGAAGATTGAAAAATAAATGAATGTAATAAGTACATGAGCAAATGAATCGTGAATTGAAAAAATGATCATAAGTGAAGTATGAATAACAGAGCAAATATACACTATTCTGGTATTTAAAACTGTTTTTTCAGCATTATTTTGTAATATTACAGAATAAAAAGAAAACCTACCATCTGGCATACACAAAAACAGTGCTTGAAATTGTGAAAAGGTACATTATTATAATGTCTGTAAACTTCAAACAGAAAGGACTGCAGCACAGGCATCTATGAAGTAAAGATTGAAAAAAACAAACATATTATTTCAATACTTTTAATACTTAAAGGCCAAACTAAAATAGATTCAGTACTTATTACAATACAACATTATTTATCAAGGTACTGTACAAACTACACAGAGAAATTTGGGTTGGCTCTGTGTAATGCCGAAATGCAAAAAACACACACAAACATATGCACTCCCATAATAAGTTAACAACTGCCTGAAGCCTCCCCCTAACACTACCATCTTTGTTTCTGTATTAAACATATAGATTGGACGGTTTTCAACAATTATTTCCCCTCACCCATCTGACCATTCGATGGCACTACACTAATTATTTGTGGATCAAATAGAAAAGGACGTTTGCACAATAATTAAAATGTGCCAAAAAAGTAAATGCATAGTAGAAATTTAATCAGAAAAGCTGCACACTTTGCTCACTAATTAATTAAAAGTTCTGAGTACTAAAACATTGAAGGTTAAGCTAATTTATCATCCTACAAGAATACTCGTAACCCTGCAGTGTCTTCGCAAAGTTCACATGGTGGTGTAAAGTCGATAATGTACGAGGAGCAAAATGTATACTAACGATCAAGTTCAATTAAAACGCAGCTCTTATTTCTATCTCGATCTCACATGACTCTCCATTAGATGGTCGTTGATATATTACTACTGCATAATGGACCAAAGCGTTCTCATAGTTTTTTTAGTCAAATGTGATATGGGGGTGGGGAGAAGTAAACATATGGGTTTTTAAGAAATTCTTTAAAATTTAACTAATTTTATTTTGGTTGTCATACCACAAAAGAGATTTAAAAAAAAATTATATTTTATAAATGCTCGCAAACATTACGTTGAAATATTTGTCTCCAATATTTATATTAAAAAATAAAACAACATTCAATAAAAAAGTTTTGTTTTCTTATATTAAAAGTAGAGAACTGTAATAATAATAATAATACAAACTCAGATTTCCAAAGCTTTAAATAAAATAACGCTACATTATAAGTAAAAATAATCCTAAAAGCCAATTACAAGACAGAATGGTAGAATGTTTTAGAACTTTTAATAGGCATAGAATAATGTACAGGAGGTAATTTTTATGTATATCAATTATGCTAAAACCTCGTGAGATGATTGAGTATCTAATGATTATTAGCATGTCTTCAATTAGCGTGTAAACTCTTCATATCAGTCAGTCGGCTCGTGTACGCTATTAACGAAGCTTGCTGTGTGGATAGTGTACAGTAACAAACTGATTACTTTATCCATGATGCACAGCAGGCTTCAACATCGATTTTCTATCATTGCATCTCATACTTATAGGCCTAATGAAAATAAGGTATGGTAAGAACAAGAAAATCCGCAAAAGGAATTTGCATGGTCGAAACATGTTCTGCTAATGTTAGTTGTAATCTGGTTAGACAATGATAAAAACCAGCAAGTAAATGCTGCATATACGACACTCGTTCCATCAACATTAGTTACGATTCGACATCAAGAAAATTGGTAAAAGAATTGCATTAATGACCAGAGTTCCATCACTGTTATAATCTAATCACCAAGGTAACAAGAAATTCATTAAAAATGTTTGCACGGATGACAATACTTTCATCAATTCTAGTTATTATTTAGTTATCTAGGTAACTAGAAAATAGGCAGAAAGAGAATTTGCAATTTTATCTAATTCAAACAAAAAGACAGTAACTGTGAAAAGAGTTTTTTTTTAAGACTAATTAGTGGATCCTCTGGTTTTTATCTAATTCTATACCAGTTTTCTTTGTCATGGCAAGGAGGGAGAAGTCATTATTTTAGAGTTGTACACAGCATACCATCTAGGCAAGCTACTCAATTATATGTGGAATTTTGAGCTGAAAAAAATTTAATATTTTTTATTTAATTATAGGCATAGGGAGATGTCAAACAACAAGCTTTTCTACTGGACAAAACCTGTCCTTTTGCATCTGTTTCTTTTTGTACCTGATGTTTTGTGATGTTTTTTTTTGTGATGAGTCGCAATAATTTGAATAAAGAAAAAGAAAACAAAAATACACGTCATGCTCTACATATAATATACGAAGTCTTATTAGGCTTAGGGAATGAGTTGTTTTTGATCATATCTGCAATAAATCTTGTTATTATGACTGGGATTGAACCAAGGAACCTGACATTGAAAGACAAGACTACCTACACCAAGGCAACAACAGGACGCACATCTCGGGACATCAAAGGTTATAACTCTGGCATCGACATTCTATGCGTCGCGCACCCTTACACGCTGATCTTCACAAAAACCACAGCAACCAAACAATAATTACCTGTCAGTGTGTGACTAATTACCCATGTGCGCATTAGTTGCCATTATAATCGCGCGTTGTGCAGTGATTACGAAAGCCTAATGATATTTTGCACTACAATATATTCATTATTTCAACATTAATTTAACCGATGTTGTAGTGTATTGTGGTTCATGAGACTCACATCGCAGAAAAAATAAATTTTCTGTATCTACTCAAATGTTCGTTCTGTGCACATTAGTCCAACATTGTCAAAATGGCAGTTTAATGTTGTATCTATAATTTTTTATTTGTTGGTCAATTTTCACGAATCAAATTGTAGTTTATAGAAGTACTTAACAAGCTACTGGTAAAAAAAACCCAGATGTAACAGACTTTGCGAAGTACCCAAAATTAATAAAATAGTAACTAACACCATAAAACGTATGGCACGCAGTAGACTAATAATTGATGTCTGTACTCACAACTAGTATTGGATTGTCGATGCCACAGTAAAGATCAAAGGACTGTACGTACGTGCTATGTTTGCGAGTGGAGATGTGCGTTCTATTGTTGAATTGCCTTGCCTATACCAAGTTCATTGCCGTGAAGTTGCAAAATATTTCAGTCTTAAGTTCTGGGCAAGTGACTTACCTCTATGTGGAATTTAGAGACAAAATCAAGATCTATGTACATCTGTTGGAGTAGAACCAACATTTCCGCATCCTCCCATTGCCAGTTGTCAAAGCTTGGTTGCCTTAGATACTCACGCACTTCAGTCGTTAACTGGACGTTACTGACGAAAACAAAGTTAAGTAGTTTGTGGTAGTCTTTCTTTGCAAGCAAAGAGAAAAACATTTTTTACTCTCTATTGGCCTCGCTTCAAGGTTTTCTTTGTACTAGGTACAAATTAATAAAGTCAAAGTATTTTAAGAGTATTGTTAGCTGTGACTTCATGTTTGTATATTATTATTAATTATGATGTTATGACTTAAATATTGAAGTGTATCATTTGGCATGTCATTGAATTTATGAATATCATCACGGAATATCAGGCCCAGACGCGGATCCAGATGTTTGCACCATTTTCCATGGCGAAGGTCAGGGTGAGAAATAGCGGCTTAGCTCAGTAGGCTAATCTGGTAGTAGCCACTGTGTGTGCGTTAAACCGTGGAGATCTGCGGTTCAATTCCCATCGCTGTCTTTCTTTGTGTTTCAGCTGGAGGGTTGAAATACTGTACAAGTTACAATAGCGCATCGTCTTCCGGATGAGACGTTTAAGCTGTTGATCCCGTGTGCATTTATGGCCCATGTGCACGCTAAAGAACGCAGTACACTTTTCGAAAAAGAGTAGGGAATTGTCTCCCGGTATACTGCCCAATCACCACCAGAAGGATCCCACTGGAAATAACTCTTCTTCTAGACTTTCGTGGGCTTTCCTTGGTGTTTACACTAAATAAATCCAATCCAATCTAATTCAAATACGATATAGATATTGATACTAAACTGAAAATATCCATTACTGAATCTGAATTTTTAAAAAGTAAAAAATATTGCTTCACTCAGCCTATTGGGAATATGCATGGTATTTTATTCTCTTAAAAAGTGAACCACATACCTTTTGCATAGCTTTTACTTTGTTAAAAGTCTGAAATCCTGACTGAGATGACATTCGTTTGCTAAAGAAATGCTATAGCATATTTTGCTCTACTTTTTAACCAGATGCTAGACAGGCTTTATGTTAAAAAACAAATATATACACACGCTCCAAAAACCATTTTATGTCTGAAATTGTTATTTCTGCTGAGCGTCTGTGGTTATTTTAGACATTATACTAATATATCATCTTTAGTAAGTAGCTGCGGCATGTTCTTAGGAATCTGGATATTTTTCCATGTGATACAGACATTGGGCTTATTCGACTGGTTCATTTTGTTGAGTATGAATTTTTGTTGAGTATTATTTTCATTCGACTGGTTTGTAAAATTGACTTCGTTGACAACGAAAATTAACGTAACCAGAATTGCGTTAATCAGCGTTAAATTACGCATGTGACCAAAAAAAATATGGCAGATTGGTCAGTTTAGCAACAACATTTGCGTTAATATAATTTAGATTAAATTTCAGAAAATAAAAATTATAATATTTACCAACAATGAAGTCAAAAAATAATTGTAGGCTAACAGAATTTTAAAAACTGGATGAAAACATTTTTTTACAAAAAACCCATACTGCCACAATCCGAAGCAGCCTTGATTACGCAGCGTGTATCACGGTAACTATGCAGCCATTTTGTTTTGTCAAGTATTTACCAGTTTTCTATTCGACTGGTCATCTTTGTTAAGTATGATTTTACCATTGTGCAGGTGGGCGTGGTTTAACGAAGAACGACCAACCGAATACGGCCATCATGTGCCAAAATAAAAAGCTCCTGACCGGTTATTAAAATATATAAAAAAATAGTATCATTAAAATTTAAAACATCTTAGGCTATGTTCTCTCACGGCAGCTAAATGTTAGCAGGATCCGGATCCTGCTAACCGTTACAGTAGCTGCCGTGCGTCCATACGAGAAAATCCCGATCCGGATACTAAGAATATGATGCTCGAATCACTGGCCAATAAGAAAATGGAAATTGTAAACGCATACGTGTGATTAGTTGATGATAGAAACGCGCTCACTTACTAACCGATAGCGCTTGCTAACCGTTAGTGGTATCCGGATACTGCTAACGGTTAGCGCTAACCGATTAGGCGTTCTCACACAGGTGCTAACGGTTAGCTCCTGATCCAGATACTAGGTCTCTTGTGAGAACATAGCCTTATGGTTTTAGTCATTGGTGTTATCAGACAGTAGCTGTAATATATACAGTATTTACTTATTTGTTTTCTAGATTAGAAATTCCATCATTGTAAACATTGATTTCAACGAAAAGTGATATGATAATTTATTATATTTTCTCTCAAAATCGATATTGAACAACAACCATATAGATATGCTGACAGAGATACTGAACTAAAATATCCAATATTCTAAGCCAACGAGTCCAGATAAAAGTTTTCTAATTAATTTTCTTCACTGCATGGAAGTCATTCCTTGTATTTGTATTTTTTTCTCCACGAAGTCAAGCAGATGTTTGAATGCAATGAGTTAATGAAGCAGACATATTCTGTATTGATTAAATATGTATTGAATTGCCATGTAAATTATAACATTATCGCGAATTCCTAATAGTTTTTAATTAAACAATATTACTTCACTCAGCCATTTTGGATTGTGCGTGGTAGTTTAATATCTTAAGTGAACTACATGGCTTTTGTATAGCTTTTTCAAGTTTGAGTCCGATGATACTCATTTGCTACATCATTGTTTGCCCAATTTCAACCCAGGTTGGATATACTGTATTCATCCAACATGTTTTAGAAATTGATCAGGTAAAAATAAATGTACACCTCGGCACAAGGCACGATATAACATTATTTACAAAGACATCCTTTAGAAAAATAATAACAATGCTAACCATAACATTCACAACGATTGCCTCCTCGACTTACCATAACATTCAACAATATACATCGCCACCTTTCCCACTCATTCAACACTGTGCGGAGCACGGGTATATGCAAATAATAATACTAATAATAATAACAATAATAATAATAATAATAATATAAATAAAGGCTTTGTTTAAACATGGAAAAGCTTGTACTATACGTAGGTATTCTTCTACAAGGCCGTGATAAACTACTACCCATGTCTTGAATTTATCCAGACTAATGTATGTAAAAGTAGCTTTACAACATACATTACACGCAAATAATACTTATAATAATAGTATTTACATGCTATCAGAAATGCAAAGGCACGTGACCAAAAAAAATATGACAGATTGGTCAGTTTAGCAACAACATTTGCGTTAATATAATTTAGACTAAATTTCAGAAAATAAAAAATTCAAAAATTCAAAGTCAAAAAATAATTGTAGGCTGTTTTGTCAAGTATTTACCAGTTTTCTATTCAACTGCTCGTCTTCGTTAAGTATGATTTTACCACTGTGAAGGTGGGCGTGGTTTAACGAAGAACGACCAACCGAATACGGCCATTATGTGCCAAAATAAAAAGCTCCTGACCGGTTATTAAAATATATAAAAAAATAGTATCATTAAAATTTAAAACATCTCTAGGCTATGTTTTCTCACGGCAGCTAAATGTTAGCAGGATCCGGATCCTGCTAACCGTTAGCTGACGTGCGTCCATACGAGAAAATCCCGATCCGGATACTAAGAATATGATGAATCACTGTTAGCCTACAATTATTTTTTGACTTTTTGAATTTTTGAATTTTTTATTTTCTGAAATTTAGTCTAAATTATATTAACGCAAATGTTGTTGCTAAACTGACCAATCTGCCATATTTTTTTTGGTTACATGCCTTTGCATTTCTGATTGCATGTAAATACTATTATTACAACATACATTACACGCAAATAATACTTATAATAATAGCTATACATGCTATCAGAAATGCAAAGGAATACTGTGGATTAGTATAGTCTTCATATTCACTTGAATTTAGATTTGTTATAACCAGGTCTTTACTTCACTGACTACCCTGGGAAAAGGAAGCAACATTTGATGATAGTACTGTAAAATAATCAAAGAAAAAAAATACTTCGCTGAATTCCACAGTGACAAATAGTAGCTTACGCAGGATAATCATTTAAAGAGGCAAAAAATCACAGGCATTCAAAGAAAATGTTAAGACAGTGATTCTTCTTTATAAAATTTGTTTATACCTTATCTATAGATGGTGGTCTTTCCATCCCAACCTGAAACTGTAGGTGCTCTCTTAATAATAATATACAATATTAAAATAAAGTAATGTGAAGCTTTGCTTTCTGACGATTGTCAGCGGCTGAGCGGACTGTCATTAAAAACAATCTGTTCCTCACGCCTCACCGCTTTCTCCACACACTATATGAAATATGAAACCAAAACACTATGCTCAATGAGTGTGTAAAAAAGTATAAAGGTTAATTACTCTGAAATGTTTTGTTGTGACCTGTTACATACAATATTGTTTTGAAATCTTGTATTAAAACATGAAACTACTACTCACACATTCTGACATAAGAACTGTAAATATAAATATTATCATCATCAGAATCTCTGAGTCTTATAAACATCCGGTATTTGTTTTGTAAACAATCATGATATTAGTACATACCTCGATGTTGTTAAGTTTATTACTTTGTCATCAGTCAATTGATAAGAATTATGTGTAAGAATTTATAACTTGTTGGTCATTGCAAAAAGATTGGTTATCAATTTTCAAAGAGACAAATTTAAGCATTTCAGTTTGTAACTGATTTACAGACAATCATACCTAGAACGTCTACATTGATTAAGAACTAATTTATGGGTCTAGGTAAATAATATAGGCAGGATGCATCTGTTAATTGAAGAACATTTTTGTTTTTTGGCCAAGTCAAGTAGCCAAGTGGTAAGGCAGAGGTGCTGCTATTAAGCCTTGACGTCGGGGCTAGTTTGAACCAACCTTTCCCAGGGTTTGATTGGTAATGTAGAACCATGTATTCTTGGTTAAGGACTTAAAATGGACACAATTGGCTTGCATGAATTTCAAAGAACCCATTACACCTTTCGAAAGAGTAGGGGGCGGTTACCACGATGGTTCATTTCTGCCTGTTAGTTATGGAATGATGTAAACACAAAGCTAATAATATAGCACCTTTTTACGGCGGCTAGGGTGTCACAGACCATGTCCATGCGCAATTTAGGACAATGACGCTGTGAGTTATGGGTTATTTATTACATATACCCTACATTTACCCTTTTTATTAGCAACAGGAAGCTAAAAAGTTTATTAACTCAATACAAACAGTTTAGGCAAGACTTTTTATACCTTGTTTTGCGAACAGGGGAGGGCAGAAGAAAATAAAAATAAAATTTTGTTTTATTATCAAATGGTTTTGCCAAAAATTCCAGACGGATAAATAAATAAAAAAAATTTTTTATTGTTGAATGTAAACAATGTATTATGGGATGGTTAAATGCTTTACATTTTATAATTAGGAAAAAATACATATCTTATTT